CACTCTTATGGCTTGTAAGCGTCGAAAAAGTTTGTATAATATTCTGCCTTCTTTTCGTCATCCTTCTCATTCGTAAACTTCGTGTACCAATCGATCAGTTTGGTCTCCTTTGCCTTTTGCTCTTCATTCAAACTTTCCAAATATTTTTCAATCGCCTTTTCGAATTTTCCCGACACCACTTTCAATTCGGCTCTCAAGTCCTCCTCAAACTTATCCGCACCGTTATCGATGAAAGCTTTTTGAACGGTTTTTGCTTGCTCCAATTCGGGTGGTATTTCATTGGCATCCTCCAATATGCTGGTGAATGTAATCAGCGAATCGAAAAGAGACAACATACCCTCAGCTTCGGCTGTATTCGGCTCGTGCGAGTTAGTATTAAGATAGTCGGCGATGCGGGTAATATTCGCCTGTAACGCTGGACTCTTTTCTGGAAGCGCTTCCAATTGGGCCAGAGCCTTCTTAAAAAGTGGACGACCATTTTCGGTAACATATTTAGCCAAACCAACTAAGTCAACGAGGGTTGTTGTCATCACTACCTGACGTGGCTTAAATTTCAGTGGAGACTCCTCTGAGGAGGATGAATTCGCCTTTTCGGGCACTGCCGTCGTTGTTTGCTTCCTTTCGACTGCTGCCTCGCCTGCTTCACGACGCATGCGTGGAACGGCTTGTGCCTGTATAAATTAAAGTAAAGTAAATATTAGTATCCCTACAATTTAGTTGTGGAGAAATTTTTAACGTACTTGCACCAGCAGACATGCGCTGACTATTACAATGATTAAGCCCCTTGACATTTTTGATATTTTGGTGCTCGTTACGGTAGCTACAGTTGAACTGAGGATTACAGCTCAACTTTTCACTTTATATACCCTTCGGAAATTGAAAATGCATGTTCTTATTATTGACATATATTATACTTATGTTTTAAGAAATTACTTTTCTTAGCTGCATTTCTAATCAAATATTCTTGCGAAAGTATCGACTCGGCTTTATTCCACTTAAGTGTTTACAAGTTCTTATCTTTTCATATAAACTTATATGTATACACATGTACATATGTATGTATGTACTTGCAGATTATTTGTACGCATTTGACTGCATGTTTTCATACATATATTTATTTTATTATCTTGTTTTACAAAGAAAGCGACTGATTATACAAATCTTGTTTAATAGAATTTACATACATAATAACAGTTGCATCGAAATATGCCTCTATGGCTGATCTTGATGGCTTGGGGATTATTCATACGATTTTCGACTTGACGACGAACTAAACCATTCACCAAGTCATTCGTCCCTTGGCTTTTTTCGATTTGATTTTTGATAACATAAGATGCCAATGCAGCCACATCCAGCATATTATAGAAAAGGGCCAATGGCCATCGCTGAGTACTGTGGCTTCGCACACGGGTGGATGGCATAGGAGTCTTACTTCACCTCATACCATTAGGAGCCACAAAAAAATTGGTTGGGTTATGTGAAGCTAAATTGCCCGTCCCCCTGTTCGTCGTCATCCGATTCTTCAGGATCGCTCTCCACGTCAAAACAGTTTTCATCCTCTACGTCAGGGGCATGTTCATCACAAACAAAATCATGATCGTCGTCGCCACCACTGTACGCTTTATGATCTGTAAATCTTACATGTTCTATGAGACGCACGTAATAATACGTACGCTGATCCTCTGGCATACTGCATAAATAATACCCATTTGTACATGTACATAAATATAAGTATATAAAATACAAATAGCAAAGCTTACTGGCCCAACATGATTGCTGAAAGGTATTCAAAGTTTCCGACATTGTGCTAATTTATAACTTTGCAAAAAAAGACGTACTAAAACCAAAACAGCTTATCTCGTGACCACGCTTGATCGCACTTTGATATGGACTAGCTGAATTTTTGAAATTCTTACGAATTGCTCGCATAACTAGCGGTATTTATATAGTTGTTGTTATTTTGCCCTCAAAGTTTGACAAGTCTGGCTAGACCTACGGTGTACGTTTGAGGTATAGGTTTAGTAAATTAGGAAATTAGGAATACGCATATATTTTTGAAATTTTGTTTTCCATCAACGCATTTAATATATTTGGTGAGGGTATCATAAATTCCTAGTTTTGTAGATGAATAATTTCTATAAGATAAAATGAGTTAAGGTTAGTTCAGGTCTGGCCAGATCTTGGTATACCCGTAAGGGTTAAAAACTCTTCGCCTTATCGATTAGTTCCGCGAAACCGATTTTCTGTAAATCAATTTTTTAATATTTCTCATCAAAGCAAATAACATTTACTTATAAGGCTTATAATGGCTACATAACATCAACGTATGCAAAAACCAGTTCTGTTTAGTATAAGAAAAACGCAAAAATTTTGTGACCAGTTTTAACATATTATTTTTGTTTTTATTCAATTTTGGTTATTTTTTTTTTTATAAAAATATAGTTCATTCCTAAATAAAGACCGTGCAAATCCAAGTTTCAAACTTTGTGCAATGTTCTAAAAAAATCAACAAACTTTCGTAAAATTTTCTAGCTTTTTTAATTAGATTTCCTAGATTATGAGTATGTAGTTTTGTAGCCCATTGAATTCTAGTAGAACAAATTACAAGTTTGAAATGGCTAAAAATTACGGTTGATTTTTCGAGTTTTTTTTGTCCCATTTGCTTCCATATAACGAATACACAAAATTTATTTTTATATGAAAGAAATCCGTAACATCCTCGACAAAAAAAAAAATTCTAAAAAATCAACCGTAATTTTTAGCTATTTGAAACTTGCACTAGAATTCTATGGGCTACAAAACTGCATACTCAGAATCTTGCTGGGAAATCTAATTAAAAAAGCCAGAAATGTTTACGAAAGTTTGTTGATTTTTTTTTTTAGAATATTGCACAAAGTTTGAATCTTGGATTTACACGAGGTTTGTTAAAGAATGAACAATATTTTTGTAAAAAATAACCAAAATTAAATAACAACAAACATAATATGTTAAAACTTGTCAAAATGCGGTGCGGCTATAATTATTTCGACCAATCTATATGTATATTCTACATCAGAGTACTCATAACTCCAACAAATCAAATTGTAAAAAAATAAAGTTAAAAGCGAATTTCTTAGTACTATTTTTTTTAAACCTAAGAAAGTATTTTCTAAAAAAATGGTGCTTTCCACTGTCATTGTAAAATTTGAAGTGTTAAGAATTTTTAGTTCCGGTCCGAATTTTATTATGAATGTTTTAAGAAAAATAGGCCAGAAAACGGCCATGAAGTCGGAACTAAGTTCTGAGGCTATGACATAAAATAAAATGCTAAATATAGCCTCAAAAAGGTTAATCTGGTCACACGGTGGGTATGTACTAGAACGGGGTAATTGTGGTCACTGATTTTTGGTGCAAAAAACGTAGATATATCATACTTTAATATCTTATTGTAAATGCCGAAAGTATGGCGAAAAATAAAAAACATCGAAATTGCTTTGCAAATATACTTTAGACTCAGAGTTGTATGGCGAACTTTTATTTTCTGGTATGGTCTAGTGTACATACACAAATAGTACTGCTACTATTTTCATACTAAAAGGATCATTGTAACTACAATTTATTTTAAAGCAGTTTTTATCAACAACATTGTAATGCAACAACGTCGCAAAAGCAATTTGAACTTTCAAGTGCATTATATGTGACAAAGAGAAGGGAAAAAGCGAAGTGCCAGAAGCACAATGGCGTAAGCGCAGTAGCATACTTTCAGGCGTATATATACATACATATATGTATATAGTACATATCCCGAAGGTAAAACCCAGTGGCCCTGCAATGCAACTAAAATTGAATTGCCCGATTTTGCAAATTGACAACACAAGGTCGAGTGTATTTGTGGAAAGTGAAACACAATGAGAATAAAAGCGAAAAATGAGAATCGAATTCGTGGAGTAGCAGCAAAGAAACTTGCATGCATTTGTGTACATATATACGTACATACATATATTTTGGTATATGCAATTATTATGCATTAGCTTGGTACTCAGTAATAAGAAGGATGGACACGAGAAGAGATTGAGAGAAATGAGGTCTTATAAACCAACTCAAATGACTTTTACTTACATACATACATAAAGAATGTACACGAAAAAAACTGGTCGCACATAACCAAGCATAGCTCGGTTAATCATAACATTAAAATAAAAATCGGTAGACACTTAAAAAGCTGGAAGCATTTTCCACCTTACTGCATCATTTCTTTTTAGTAACAAAAATCAGTGTAGAAACGAGGACCAAGAAAGAAATCGATCGCGAGTTAATATTGCGCAAAAAGCTGGAAAATCCCAGCATGTTCCATAACGACATCGCAAAAAAGCTAAAATTTCCAAAGTCTACCGTTACTTATGTGCTTAAAAAATACAATGAATGTTTATCTTTAAAAAGGAACCGTGGTAGTGGCAGAAAAAAAGGATTTGCTTGCGAAATTAAGGCAAAGGAAGTGTTATCTGCTTTTAAGAAAAATCCTGGACTTTCGGTAAGAGATGTCGGCAAAAAATTAAACATGTCGTCTTCGTATATACAAAAAGTATGCAAAACAGCAGGACTACGTTCTTACAAAGTGAATGCAGCACCTAATCGCAACGGTAAGCAAAATTTGTTGGCGAAACAACGTGCTCGGAAATTGTACGACAGTCTCATACAAAAATTTGGCTGTATTGTTATGGATGACGAATCGTACGTAAAAGCCGATTTTAAACAAATCCGGGGCCGCGAATTTCACACTGCAAATAAAAGAGGTAATGTTGCAGATAAATATAAAAACAAAAAGTTTGACAAATTTCCCAAAAAGTTTCTCATTTGGCAGGCAATTTGCCAATGCGGCTTCAAAAGTGATCCTTTTGTAAGCACTGGTACAATTAACCAAGAAATTTATGTTAAGGAGTGTCTGCAAAAGCGACTTTTACCTCTTATACGGCTTCATAAAGATCCAGTGCTTTTTTGGCCTGATCTCGCGATATGTCATTACGGAAAAATGGCTTTAGGATGGTAACATAGAAACAAAGTGTATTTTGTAGCAAAAGAGGTGAATCCACCTAATTGTCCAGAGCATCGGCCGATCGAAACCTACTGGGCCGTTATGAAATCCAAACTTCTTAAGACCCACAAAGCTGTAAAAAACGCACAACAATTCAAAAATAAATGGCAGCTGGTTTCCAAGGAAATCACTGAAACTTCTGTGCAAGGGCTAATGAAGGACATAAAGTCAAAATTGCGATCGTTTGCTTATTACAAGGAGAATTAACGAATTTCAATAAAACTAAGTTTAGATGTAAATATATGTAAATATCGTTGAATTCCATTAATATATTTATGTTTTAGAACGTTTTAACTGTGACCAGTTTTTTTCGTGTACATTCTTTATCTAAGTAGTAGAAAAGATGCAATGCAACCGGTAATATGTATATTACGAAGAATTCGTTGAGGAGGTAAGGAAATCTTGAAAATGACACAAAAATATGCGCCTCAGACAATCGGATCGTTTTTATATAGATACAATACTTAAATATTTTTAGACACACAAATAACCAATTTGCTTTAATATCTTCATCCGCGCAATCCCAATTTCCACTTGCAACAAGTGCGCACCACAAATTTATTTGCACAGCCACTTCTGCTTACGAGCGAAAAATGTGCCACCAACACAACCATAAATCCAATTTCTTACCACTTAGTGTCGGCAAATACCTTTAATGGCGAAATAAAAAATAAAAAAATAAAGCAAACGAAAAAAGTCGGCCAAGAGTGAGAAATGATCATGAAAATCAGGTCATAAGTAGAATTTTGTGGGCACTTATAAGGAGTTGAGCAGCACGTTTG